AGTGGGGGGGGGGGGGGGGGGGGGAAGGTGCAAAGTGGGCCATGTCCCTACCCACAAATGAGACAAAACAAGCAATTTTTATATCCCTGTATCCTACATATTTAACATCTGCTGTCCTCTTCTGCCATTTCACATATACCAAGTAAAACCAAGCAACATTTTAAAACCTAGTCACTGCCCCATTTTGCTGTCTGCATTCCATACTCTTTGACTTTATACAAGTTCAAGACAACACACCTATTTAATGAATAAGTTGGAATAGATGAAGTTCATCTGCTAGTATTATTACCACTTCCTCATGAACAACACATAAATGCATTTCATTTTGAGAATTATGTAAATATAATTTCTGCAACAGTGCTTTATTTGAAAACCAATGCTGGGTTGATAGAAAATATACATGAAAATTGAATCAAGGAAAAAAAAACACTATTTGCACATCGTGCACAACAAATAATACAGAGTTAATCAAGTATATTGTTTTGTTCACATTTAAACAAGTAGAACCCCTGGATATAGCTGTCCATCCTGTCTTATAATGACGTTTTTCATCATCAGACATGCGTAATAAGACCAAATATGTTAAAACCCATAACAGCAAAAGTGGAGAATTGACAATTTGTGTTATCATGTTACACTTTCTCCCTTTTACTATTATTATTTCAACAAGTATTTTCCCACATTGTACAATTATAGACAATGCTTACACCTACAAGTATTGTGATGGTCCCAATGCAGTTTAACATGACTGCCAAGGGTATTATATTTAGCCACTTTTTCCCCACAATACCCAGACTCCTGTATTATGTGTGTTGGAAAAAAGTACAAGAGAGAACATGAGTCTATTTCAGTTGAAAGGCTAAGAAATATTCAATTAGAGAAGAGAAGGTTCTGGCAGAAAACTTGCCTGCAATATGGGTATATATGTGCAACAACTAAAAAACAAACTAATAACACAATTTTCAAACCTATTTTAACACTAGACACAATGTCAACAAGTACAAAGGAAAACATCATGTTCATTCACAGATATCAGTAGCCTAATAAGACTTTCAACATAGATCAAATAAAATATTTTAAGTTCAAAATCACTAAATAATAATCAATTTCTATCATACCATGTATTAGCCACTTCTTTGTGGTTATAAAACAGGCACAATATTTCATAAAATTGCACAACAAATGTCAAAGTAAACCAAACTTTTAAAAGTTAATACAAATTTCCATGCACAAGAGTCTTTTCTGTAACAAACCCTTACTCCCACTCTAACATCCTGGGCATTTGAATGCTTGGCTATTAGTAAAGATACTACACATAAAAAAAACCCTGAGAACATAATGTGTTGTAATTCATTGACAGGGCATTACAATAACTCAGCATACAAAATAATTGAGGTTTTTAATTTTGTTGAGTAGTTTTGCCCACTTGACGGGTCTGATCTCATACTGTTGACAATAAAATATAATTTCTATGTTCCCATAAGTCAATATCTGTGTCT